TATTCTCTTTGTTTTATTTTTTTTATATCTTTATCTCTTCAATTTTATCATATCCTCCACGTGACAGTCTATGAGGATAGATATTTTTTGCCTTGTTCTCTTTATGTTTTTACTTTTAGCCAGGAACTCAAGAGTACTTCGAGACTCGACAAATTTCTCTCAAACGTCTTTGTCAATAAAATTATAAGTCACATATGGAGGCGTTAAGTTAGTTTTCTTAAAATTTGTAATATAATCTATTGTGAGTTGTGTCTTAAATCCCCTCAAATGCTCACCAGCATATGATATCCATTTCTTTTCTAGCTTATCGTCTTCTGGAAGAATAAAAATATTCTACATTTGCAGAATAAAGTTGGTATTAGTATTAAACAAAAAACTAAATGATCATATATACTTGTAAATTGAATCATGAAATTTAAAATAAATACCTTAAGATCGGTCCATATACTCTTTTTCAATTTAGAATTAACTTTGCTCCAATCATCTAACAAAATGCTAACTTTTCTTCTACTAAGTAATGTCGCGTAAATCTTAAAATTCTTAGCATTTTCACCATAACATCTACCACTTTGTAAACAAAAATTGATCGACAATCTAATATTGGTGTTACGGGAAATTGTTATCTTGACCATCATTGTGGAAAATCTAGATTTTATTTTACTGTTAGTATTACTATATATGGTTGTAGGAGAGGTGGTGGTTATAGGAGAGGTGGTGGTTATATCGTCCATCTTAGTAGAAACAACAAGCAAAAATAAACATATTACTTACTAAGAGCACTTCATATGTATAACCTCATAATCATTTTACTTAAAACAACACTACAAAGGAAAACCATCTTTTACACAAAAAAAGGAAAACCTATTTCAATTGTTATCAACTTAATCAAAATAATAGAATCCACGCAACAAAAACTAATATTTCTAAGTCATGTGCATGGATAAAGTTAAGTTAGTGAATTATATATCAAATATGTGATGAAGAAGATAAAAAATGGTGGAGGAAACTTCGTTGATCTTTGGTTGTCTTTTCTCATACTAACAATAAGAAATTTATTCCTAATCATACTACAATTTATTTTGAATATAGGTAATACTCAATATTGTCAACCAAAGAAAATAATATATTACATAATTTTTTCTTTGATTGACAATATTGAATACTTATTCAAAAATATAACAATGTTTCTTTATACCATTCAACATTGACAAGAGTTGGGAACATCACCACCGACAACAACAACAAGAACAACACTGTTATGCTAGATAGATTGTAAGGATAATAAAATAATTTGTTAAACGTGAATGTTAGAAGAAAAATAAAACATAACCAAAGAATTTTTATGTCTTGCAATCTATCCCAAAGAATGATGTTTAAGAGCACAGAGAAATTTTATATATGAGTTAGGTTTAGGGTAAAACTTAGGGAACAAATCCTTTTATAGTTAAATATGGGTAGCTTACCCCTTGGTTATTAGAGAAATCTGTGGAATAGATAATTTAATATTAAAAAAACTAACATAAAAAGAAATACACCACTTTTAAAGAAAAAAAACAAAATTGCAAATAATGGAATTTGAAGTATGTACCTTGAATTAAGATATCCCTGAGGTTTTTTTATTAAACCCGACGAAATAGATTGTTTTGTTAAAAACAAATCATGGCGTGGACTCGTATTTTACCTTGGTTTTTTGCTACGTATAAGGTGAAATTGTTGTTATACAATGTATTATTTTCCTCCCCTTAGTTTTTATATTTATATCAAAATTAAAATATTTTTCATCACGTTTATTATAGCAACCGTTGTTAAATGTTATGAGTTATGTTGTTGTTGTCGTTCAAAGTATTTGTTCTTTAAGATTTTTTGTTTTTCTTGTTGTTGAGACTGGAAACTCTTATAGGTTGTATGTTATTGATTTTTATTAGTTATGTCGTTGTTTTTGTGGAGGTTGTATGTTGGTGTTTGTGTTATTTTTGATGTTTTTGTTGAGTTATATTAATTTTTTTGTTGAGGTATGTTGTTTTTTTGTATAAATTGTATGTTGTTGTTTATGTTATAGTAGATGTTTTTGTTTAGGTATGTTGATGTTTTTGTTGAGGTATGCTGTTTATTTGTTAAGGTAAATTTTTGTTTTTGTTGTTAAAGATGTTTTGTTGAGGTATATTGATGTTTTTGTTAAGGTATGTTGTTATTTTGTTAAGGCAAGTTATTGTTTTTGTTGATAAATGTTGTTGCTTATGTTATTGCAGATAATTTCTTCTTAGGTATATTGATGTTTTTTTTAGCTATGTTGTTGTTTTGTTAAGGTAAATTATTCTTTTTTCTATCGTAGATATTTTTGTTGAGGTATATTGATGTTTTGTTGATGTAAGTTGTTGTTTTTGTTGATAAGCGTTGTTGTTTGTGTTATTGTGTATGTTTTTGTTGAGGTATGTTGAAGTTTTTAATGAGGTAAGTAATTGTTTTATAGATACATGTTTGTGTCATTGTTGATCTGTTTGTTAAGCTATGTTATTGTTAATGTTATTCCTTGTACATTGTAACTTTCATTTTGTTCAGCCAACATATCATAGAAGATTTTAATATAATGTATATAATTTTAGTGTTTTACTAACCCCTCAGTGAATATATAACATTTCAAATTGAATTACAAAATAATAATATAAAAAATTAAGCTATATTATAAAACAACTTATATTGATCAATATTTTTTGAATGTTTTATAATCAATTATCCGTATCTCGCTCTTTAGCAATTCGATTTTGGTTCAATACTTCTAGTTATTCAGCCATCACTTCCTTCTTTACTAGTTCTGTCTGCAATGTTAATACTTTCTAAAATTTAGTAGAGAAGAAAGTATTGGTTGAAGAATTAGAAGCATTGAAATAAATTCTAACGGTTAAAGAGCGAGATACAAATTATGAATTTTAGAAAACTCGAAAAACATTGATTGGTGAAACTTATTCTTCTAATATAACTTAAGTTATTATATTATTAATTTCTAAATCAGATTGAAAGGTTATGTGTTTAGTGAGCAGCTGGTGAAATAAACATTTCACATAAGTTATAATAAACTCAAATGAACATATCACCACAGTTGGAAGCTATAACTATGGTGAAATATTGTGGGTCAACTCTTTCACTATGGTTGAAACATACAACTGTGGTAAAATGTTAAAAATCTTAAAAAATGATGGTGTTGGGTATCAAATCCATGTCCATTCTATTATACATTTTACTATGGTTGATTTCTTCAATTGTGGTGATATGTTACGCGCTATTGTATTTTTACCACGACTACTAACTCATGGTAGTAAATAGGACACATATTACCACACCCTTCGTTACCACGATCATCCAACATGATAAAATTCTTCTCTCAACTATGTTAAAATGTTATTTTTGTATTAGTGTGCCCAGGTGTTAGGGGTTGCAAGGGAGGAAGAAATGATGGTTCACCTTGGACTTCTCCTCAGAGGATTTTCGTAGGAGCCATATCTTGTAGTGTTGGATTTGATAATGAAGTCACAAGGACTAGATCTATAACTTCTGGAAGAAGTGGTTGAGCTTGAGTAGTAGCAGCAACCACAACGGCTTTTGTAGATTCTTGATATTGCTATAGTGTTAAAGAGTGTGTTATATTGAGCTTCAACTATGTAGGTTGACGTTACAATGACAAGAATATAAGATCTAGACCACTGAGGATGAGACAATGGTTTTTGTAGAAATCAGTGGGAATGAGTAGTCGGTTCTCACAAACAACACGATTATTCTAATCAGGAACCAATATTGTTGTTGAAACGATGAGATGGATTGTGAAAAGATGCAATGGACTTCCAATACCGGTGACGCTGTGATGGACCTTCAAAGTTAGCACATGGACGCAAAGGTCAATGAGAGAGTGAAAATAATGTAAAAATGAGAGTGAATTTAAATACCTAAGAATTCTCTTTTCTCTTTATATACTAGGGACGGTTAAAATCATTTGTGAGACACACGACGAGCTATGCAAACAATTGTTTGAATGATCTAGATAATGGATGATGCATCAGAGGGTGGGATTATTTACCTTGAGTGAAAACGAGGAAACACATATTTTTGTCGTCCGCTTCCTTCATTCTTGTCTTTGGACCTCTCATATTGACCTTGTTGCCGGTCTAGATCAAAAACTATAACAAATCAGCCCATATTTTTGTTTAAAAAATTTTGAAAAAGGAAAATTAATTTAAATAGTTTTTTTATAAAATTTTATTTTAAGTATTTCATCATTTTTCAATAATTTCTTTAAAGATCAAAATGTTAAATAATTTTTATAAAAATGATTTTAAAAAAAAATATATATATATATATATATATATATATATATATATATATATATATATATATATATATATATTTAAAATTACGTGATTTTAAATGTATTTTAATATTAATAATGTACATTTAGCTTTTTGGATATCAAAATAAAATTTTTTAATTAAAAAAATTAGCTTAAAATAAATTTTATTATTTAAAAAAGAAATTTTTTTGATAAAAATCATTTTTAAAAATATAAACAAATTATTTTTTTAAGCTAAAATCTCTTTTTAAAAATAAATTATTCATAAATTATTTTGTGAATAATTTAACTTTCTGAGAACGTTCTTTGTGGTGAATATCTAACATATTAGCGGAAAACCATAGTTGGCTATAAATAAACTTGTGCTAAATTCTGTAACCCACAAAAAACATCTACAATTGTCGGTTTTTCTTACCTTGAGAATCTTATGGTAGATAAATATATTACAAACAGTTGAACTAGTCTTCTCTTTTGTAAGCTCCAGTCATTTATCTTGTACTACATCCATGTAATTTTAATTCAATCATTATAGAATTCATTTGTGCCATTCTAATATTTAAGATAAATATAGCTATCCTCTCTCTCTCTCTCTCTATATATATATATATATTACTCAAAATACTTTTGGATGATAACAAACTTTTGATTTGTAACATTTGAAATGGATTGTGAGACTAAGTTATGGCTGGTAGTTCTTTTTTTGTTTTCCAGTGCAATGCATTGTGCTATTGGAGAGCCCCAAGTACCTTGTCTTTTCGTTTTTGGAGATTCTTTATCAGATAGTGGAAATAACATTAACCTTAATACCGATGCTAAAGTTAATTACAAACCTTATGGGATTGATTTTCCTGATGGTCCTACTGGAAGATTTACCAATGGAAAAACTTCTGTTGACATACTCAGTAATAATGGAAATGCTTTTTGAGAATGAATTTTCTTTTTGCATTTATATTGAACTTAATTAGAATTTTTTTTTGCATTTATTGCAGGTGAGATTTTGGGATTTGACCATTATATTCCACCCTATGCAAATACCAAAGGTTCAAACATTGTTGAAGGTGTTAATTATGCATCCGGTGCAGCAGGAATTCGCAATGAGACTGGAACGCACTTGGTAATTCAATTAGTAAATTTATAGCAATGTTGCACGATGGATTGAAAATTGATATCATATGGTTTATTATTCACAAATTTAGTAATCATGTTGGAAATGTTGCAGGGTCAAGATATCAGCATGGGATTGCAGTTAGAACATCACAGAGATATTGTTTCTCAGATTGCTAAGAAACTTGGGAGAGACAAAGTGCAACAACACCTTAATAAGTGTTTATATTATGTGAATATAGGAAGCAATGATTACCTTAACAATTATTTCCTGCCACAACATTATCCAACACAAGCTAAGTATAATATTAACCAGTATGCTGAAGCTCTTGTCCAAGAACATTCGACTTATTTAAAGGCATTGTATAAGCTTGGAGCAAGAAAGTTTTCTTTGATTGGATTAGGGCTTATAGGTTGCATTCCACATGAAACAACTAGACATGGGAAAAAAGGTTCAGAATGTGTTGAAGAAGAGAGTAAAGCAGCACTACTTTTCAATGACAAACTTAAAGCCAATGTTGACCGTTTCAATAAAAAATTACCTGGTGCAAAATTCATCTTCATTAACACTGCTATCATGAAAGGTGGTAGCTTGAAGTTAGGTATTTAAACATTTTTCTTATAATAACTCTAACTCAATCACATTTTTTTTCTTTTCAAATTTATATATTATTAAGTTTGGTTGGTTTAACTTTCAGATATGGTGAATTCGCCATGTTGCAAAGTGGGGTCCAATGGGCAGTGTATTCCTAATGAGGAACCATGCAAGGACAGACACATTCATCCATTTTTTGATGAATTTCATCCAACTGAGATGATCCACCAAGCCGGTGCATATATGGCTTATAATTCTCCTCTTCCATCCTTTGCATACCCAATGGATATTAGTCATCTTGTTAAGTTGTAACAGATGGAATTTTCTTGTCCAATTTTGTTTTTTGAATTATTCAATCCAAGAAAATTCTAACAATTTTCATTGGAAATATAGTCAACTAATGTGTAATCGCCATATTTAAGTGTCTTAGTACACATGCTAAACAGATCATAGAAGCTTTCATATTAGATACATGGCAAATTAAGTTCATGAAAGTCTATAAAGTCCCTATAGTATTGAAGGGAAGTACTTAAATAAATCCCCTTCATGTAGTTTTGCTTATATTTTTCTTTAGACATCTGCTATCATAAGGTTTCCAAATGCAAATTGCTGAAATTGTTGAATAAACATTAAATGTGTTAGTAATAAGTTTTGCATTTAATTATGGTAGTAAGAAAGACAATAGTTTAGTAAGTTATGATAGTTATTAGTAACAGTTATGTTTATGTTTTAGAATTGTAAAAGTTTATTTGGGTCTATAAAAGACCAAGTATGTAATTTATTTGATAAGAGCAATATACAAAATTTATACAGAAGTCTGATTCAAAATCTAACAATTTGGCATCAGAGCTCATGGCAAACATGATGAACCAAATGTCGTTACCACGGCTAACGAAGTCCAATTATGAAAACTGGAGTATCCAAATGAAAGCTCTTCTTGGATCTCTAGACGCGTGGGAGGTGACCCATGATGGGTTTGAAGAACCAACAGAAGTTGGGGGATTTACAGCAGCTCAAACGAAGGCGTTGAAAGAGACGCGAGCGAAGGACAAAACGGTATTATACATGTTGTTTAGGGTTGTAGATGAATCAGGCTTTGAGAAGATTGTTGGTTCGACTACGTCGAAACAAGCGTGGGACACGTTAGAAAAGGTGTTCAAAGGAGCAGATCGAGTGAAGCAGGTTCGACTACAAACTCTTCGTGACGAATTGGAGAGGATATAGATGAAGGATACATAAATTGTATCTGATTACATCACACGTGTACAAAAGGTGGTGAATCAATTCGCAAGAAATGGAGAGACAGTAGCTGATGCAAGAGTTGTTGAAAAGATCTTGAGATCTTTAACAGACAAGTTTGAAAATCTTGTGTGTGCAATAGAAGAGTCGAAGGACCTTTCGACGCTCTCAATCGAAGAGCTCACTGGTTCGCTCAAAGCACATGAACAACGAAAGATGAAAAAGAAAGAAGAAGCAGACGAAAAAGCAAACCAAACCAAGGAATCAAACAAAGATGAAAAGGTACTCTTTTCTCACAACTTTCGAGGAAGAGGACGTGGACGTGGAGGTCGTGACAGTGGTCGAAGTGGTAGAGGTAGCAACTTCGAAAGAGGACATTCGAGCCAACAAAATTGGCGTGGCAGAGGATATGGTCAAAGAGGTGGTCGTTCGAATTACTCCAACTTCGAATGCTACAAGTGTGGGAAGTATGGTCATTACGCGAAGGATTGCAACTCCTACAAATGTTACAACTGTGACAAAGTGGGACATCTTGCAAAAGACTGTCGAAATGAAAAGAAGACTGAAGAGACAACCAACCTAGCCTTGGAAGCTGAATCAAATGAAGGCTTTCTCCTGATGGCTCAAAATGAAATCAACACCAATGACAGTGTTTAGTATCTTGACTCAGGAGCAAGTAATCACATGTGTGGTTACAAACACTTGTTTAAAGACATGAAGGGAATTGAAGATGGTAGTGTGTCTTTTGGAGATGCATCGAAAGTGAAGGTTGAAGGAAAGGGCACAATCAGTTACTTGCAGAAGGATGGCTTGATTGGATCAATCGAAGACGTTTACTATGTACCAGATCTTAAGACCAACATATTAAGTCTGGGACAACTTACAAAAAAAGGTGCTTCGATACTGATGAAAGATCAAACACTACAGTTGAAGGACAAAGCAGGATATCTGATTGCCGCTGTCGAAATGGAAAGAAATCGAATGTACAAACTGAACCTGAGGAACATTCGAGAGAAATGTCTGCAAATCGAAGTGCAAGACAAAGCGTCACTATGGCACATGCGCTTTGGTCATCTACATCATACTGGTTTGAGAAGGTTGGCGAAAAGGAACATGGTGCATGGACTATCAGACATGGATTTCGAAGGAAAATTCTGTGAAGAATGTGTGCTCAGAAAACAAACAAGAACCTCATTTCAAAAGAAGGCAGAGTATCAAGCTAAACATATACTCGAATTGATATATACTGACATATGTGGGCCAATCACTCCAGAATCCTTCAGTGGAAAAAGATACTTCATTTCCTTCATTGATGACTTCTCAAGAAAAACCTGGGTCTACTTCCTGAAAGAAAAATCTGAAGCATTAGAAGTGTTCAAAAAGTTCAAAGTAATGGTGGAGAAGGCAACAGACAGACACATCAAAGCAATTCGATCTGACAGAGGAGGAGAGTATACTTCGATGGCCTTTGTGAAGTACTGTGAAGAACAGGGCATAAGAAGATTCCTAACTGCACCATATTCACCTCAGCAAAATGGTGTGGCTGAAAGGAAGAATCGAACTATTTTTGACATGGTTCGATCAATGCTCAAAAGCAAGAACATGTCGAAAGAATTCTGGGCAGAAGCAGTACAATGTGCTGTTTATATTCAGAATAGATGTCCACATTCGAAGTTAGAAGACAAAACACCACAAGAAGCATGGAGTGGACAGAAGCCAACAATTTCTCATCTCAAGGTATTTGGTAGCATAGCTTATGCACATGTACCAGATCAACAAAGAACAAAGCTTGAAGATAAAAGTCAGAAGTACATATTCATTGGATATGATGAGAAGACGAAAGGGTACAAGCTCTTCAATCCCATAAGCAAGAAAGTGATCGTGAGCAGAGACGTTCGAATGAACGAAGCAAGCAAGTGGGATTGGAACAATTCGACAGAGATTGCTGACACAGTCGAAGAAACAACTATAGCTGTACCAACAAGTATTCCAGAAGAACATGAAGAAACAGAAGATGGAGATGAACCTATACAACCCAAAATGAGAAGTTTGCAAGATTTGTATGATTCAACAAGTGAGGTGCATCTTGTGTGTCTTCTGGCAGATGCTGAAAACATCAGTGTTGAAGAAGCGTTAAGAGATAAGAAGTGGAAAAGTGCCATGGACGAAGAAATTAGAGCAATCGAACGCAACAATACTTGGGAGCTAGTTGAATTACCAAAAGGTAGTCAACCCATTGGTGTAAAGTGGGTATTCAAGAAAAAGATGAATGCTCAAGGAGAAATCGAAAGATTCAAAGCACGGCTGGTTGCAAAGGGATACAAACAGAAGGCAGGAATTGACTATGACGAAGTGTTTGCGCCTGTTGCAAGAATGGAGACAATTCGATTACTCATTTCTCAAGCTGCTCAGTTCAAATGGCCAATATTTCAAATGGATGTCAAGACAACATTTTTGAATGGTGTGCTCGAAGAAGAAATTTATGTCGAACAACCACTTGGATATATGAGAACTGGAGAAGAGAAGAAGGTGTTGAAACTGAAGAAATCACTGTATGGGCTGAAGCAAGCACCTAGGGCATGGAACATACGTATTGACACATATTTTAAGGAGAATGGATTCGAGCAATGTCCTTATGAACCAGCCCTCTATGTGAAGAAAAATGGAAGTGATTTATTACTTGTTGCTCTTTATGTTGATGATCTTATCTTTCTAGGCAGTAATGTTCAGATGATCGAAGACTTCAAAATCACCATGACAAGCGAATTTGAAATGAAAGACTTAGGTCTGATGAGATTCTTTCTTGGTCTGGAGGTTCGACAAGAAGAAGCTAGAATTTTCATATTACAAGAAAAGTATGCAAAGGAAATCTTAGAAAAATATAAAATAAAGAATTGCAATCCAACTTCGACGCCAATGGAACCAGGTACAAAGCTGTCAAAGTTTGATGGAGGAGAACGGGTCGAAGGAAGAAAATATCGAAGCTTGGTAGGTAGCCTTCGATATCTCACATGCACAAGGCCAGATATTTCACTAAGTGTTAGCATAGTGAGTCGATTCATGGAGGAGCCAGTACACACACATTGGAAGGCGCTGAAACGAATTCTAAGATACATCCAAGGAACAATATCACTTGGGATGTTTTATTCAAAGACAGAAGACTACAAGTTAGTTGGTTATTCTGACAGTGACTGGTGTGGAGACATAGACGATCGAAAGAGCACTGCTGGATATGTGTTTTTCATGAGAAACACAGCTTTTACTTGAATATCGAAGAAGCAGCCTATAGTGACACTTTAAACGTGTGAAGCAGAATATGTGGCAGCATCTTGGTGCGTCTGTCATGCAGTATGGCTCAGAAGGTTGATAAGCAAGATGGAGCTGAAACAGGGAGGTCCAATAATAATACAAGTGGACAATAAATCAGCTATCGAATTGGCAAGGAATCCAGTGAATCATGAACGAAGCAAACATATAGACGTTCGATTTCACTTCATTCGTGAACATGTGAAGGAGGGAAGCGTTGAATTAAGGCATGTAGCAAGCAGAAACCAAGCAGCGGATATCTTCACAAAACCACTATCGAAAGAAGTCTTCGACAGAGGCAAGAAGATGATAGGAATGCTGGATAGAAGAAGCATTTAAGTTTACAGAGGAGTTTTGTTGAATAAACATTAAATGTGTTAGTAATAAGTTTTGTATTTAATTATGGTAGTAGGAAGGACAATAGTTTAGTAAGTTATGATAGTTATTAGTAGCAGTTATGTTTATGTTTTAGAATTGTAAAAGTTTATTTGGGTCTATAAAAGACCAAGTGTGTAATTTATTTGATAAGAGCAATATACAAAATTTATACAGAAATCTGATTCAAAATCTAACAGAAATACTAAGTCTTTTCCCTTAATGACCCATTGATTGTCGAAATACTTGAGATACTCGCTTTATTCAACTTCTGTCACTAAATGATTCTTTACCTTATCATCGGGGACATCCTCCAACATTGATTGTTCAAGTTGCTAGGCCTGAAGGGCATACATCCCAACATTGTATGCAACCTAGAAACTTGCATGAAA